TTAAGACTGAAGTGAGATCCTGTAGAGTCTGACTCTGGGTTCACAGGATGCAGCCTCAGCTCTGTCTCCTTCACTTTGGTCCAGATGCTTCAGACCTGCTTCAGACCTGCTTCTCTACAGGTTTTAATGTGTTTAGTAAGAGATGAACTTCGACTAAAAAACTTGACGCACTTTTCACAGACAAATGGTTTCTCTCCAGTGTGGATCCTCTGATGCACTTTGAGAGAACTACTCAGAGAAAAACTCTGACCACAATCGTCGCAGCTGAAGGGTTTCTCTCCAGTGTGGATCCTCTGATGCATTTTGAGATGACTACTCTGAGAAAAACTCTGACCACAATCGTCGCAGCTGAAGGGTTTCTCTCCAGTGTGGATCCTCTGATGCATTTTGAGATGACTACTCCGAGAAAAACTCTGACCACAATCGTCGCAGCTGAAGGGTTTCTCTCCAGTGTGGATCCTCTGATGCATTTTGAGATGACTACTCTGAGAAAAACTCTGACCACACTCGTCGCAGCTGAAGGGTTTCTCTCCAGTGTGGATCCTCTGATGCACTTTGAGAGAACCACTCTGAGAAAAACTCTGACCACAATCGTCGCAGCTGAAGGGTTTCTCTCCAGTGTGGATCCTCTCATGTTCTTTGTAGTGTGAAGACTGAGTAAACTTCTTCCCACAGTCTCCACAGACTAATGGTTTATCTCCAGTGTGGATTCTGTAGTGCTCAGTGAGGACAGATAAACGTGTAAAAGTCTTTTCACACTGGTCACATTGGTGAGGTCTCTCTCCTGTGTGGACATGCTGATGTAGTGAGAGCTGACGTTTGGTCCTAAATGTTTTTTCACACTGGTCACACTCAAATGGTTTCTCTCCTGTGTGGATCCTCTGATGACCTTTGAGAGTAGTCTCATGTCTAAACTTCTTCCCACAGTCTCCACAGACGAATGGTTTTTCTCCAGTGTGGATTCTGCTGTGGACCTTGAGACGTTGTTTTGTAGTAAAACATGTTCCACACAGATCACACTCGTATGGTTTTCCTCCAGTGTGAGTTCTGTGGTGTCTCTTTAGATCAGAAGCAGAGCTGCAGGTCTTTCCACACTGATCACAGGTGAACCCCATTCTGAAGATGGACTTTGTAGATCTGCAACAAACACAACAACGTCAGATAATTCTAATATGTTTGATGGTGGTAGAAGTGAGAAATGATATTGTTCTCTTTCAACATCAAACATCGGGTTCTGCAATTAAAGCTGGTTGCTCCCGACCCATGGGCTACACCCCCCACCCTGTATAGGAGCCAGTCCTTCTACAACCTCAGTCCTGGGTCTACAGCCTCAGTCCTGGGTCTGTTCATGTGGCTATGAACAGATATAAACTATGACGTCATACAATGAACTTTAGAAACAGAAATAGGGAAATGTACAGTCTGACATAGGGGTGCGCTGGCTGATTAAGGACCACGACGACACATGTAGGATCACTGGTTGACTTTATCTGCAGTTCTGTATAAAAACAAATAAAACACAAATCCTCATGGTCTCTCCATATCACAGGCTCGCAGTCCCCTCCTCAGACGCTAGGCGCAGACTGAACACAGCTAACACAGTGCATATACAGTACAGACCAAAAGAACACAAGAATACAAAAAATACCATAATTACCGCTAATAATAACAATATTGCGTTGCACATACCTGTATAAAAGAAAAGAAAACACAAATCCTCATGGTCTCTCCATATCACACGCTCGCAGTCCCCTGTTAGCAGCTAGCTCTCACATGTGACTACATAAACTACCAGTGATGGGCAAGCTACTTGATTTATGCAGTTAGCTAAGCTACTCTACAATAAATTCAGCTTCACTTTACAGAAGCTACCACCCATAAAAATGCAGCAAGCTAAGTTACAAAATTCTGTCAAAAGTAGTTTGCTATATAGAAGCTATTTTCAAGTAAACAAACTGCAGTCTATGCAATTTTAGTGATAAATTCTAAACTGTCAGTCAGAAAAAGGTTAAAATTTAGATATTTATAGAATAGCCCAAAACACCAACAACAAAAGACAAGAAGGCCCTTTGCAATTGTAAATAAAATAAATTGAGAAATTATAGCAATAAGCCATTACAAATTAACATGTACTTCATTAGAAATGTTTTTTAACTGTTGTTTAACAATAGCCCAATAAACACGAAACAAATGTGAATCCGAGCCAATTAATGGCTCTATTTAAGCAAGAATACCCTCTGAAACTGAAAAGAAAACACATAAGTTTACAAATGAACTGTGCTAGAACTATGTCTGACCAGTTTATGAAAACAATGGTAACATCCTACAGCCTTATTATCAGTCAGAGGAGCTTTCTCTGGGATTACAGAGTAGGATCTGAAAACATTTCTGTTCGCTCGTCTCCACTAAAGTGACGTGCTTTTGGAGGTATGGCCACGGTGAGGTCTGGACTCCACCGGGCGCGTCTCCGTTGACGCGCGTTGGCTGCTGTCCGTCGGACGTCTGTAAAACGGACTAGTGGTCTAAACTTATTGAAAGCAATTGGAAAAATGGGAGAGAGAAAAGAACGCCAACATATCCAGTGTTGTGAGATCTGTCTCTCATAAGTGCAGTAGCTCTGTGGGTAATGTGTGTGTGTGTGTGTGGATGGGAGCGCACGGCGGTGAGGAGAGAGCAAGGGGACACAGCAAGTGTCCAAGGGGACAGAGCAAGTGTCCAAGGGGACAGAGCAAGTGTCCAAGGGGACAGAGCAAGTGTCCAAGGGGACAGAGCAAGTGTCCAAGGGGACACAGCAAGAGAAAAAAGAGCGAGGTGTATGTAAAGATTAACATTACGCGAAAGATAAATGGTAGATGTACGATCAGGAAACAATTATTTAAATTAATACATGAAAAAAATTACACATGTTTTTTTAATAATCATTGTCATTAAAGGTGCATTGCGTAAGTTGAAAAATGCCAAAACACAATATTTTGCATCTGTGGTCCATCAGCAGTTGCCTGGTGTGTAAACTGAGCATTAGCAGATTCACTGTGGTTGCTTCTGGGAGCGCATACAGTGATTGAGAAATCCCTGACTCGGGTCGCTTTCTCGCGCGCTGTTTAAGCGGAAGTGACGCAATGCGCGTGCCCGTTCACTGTTTTGGCTCCATATGTTCCCTCGCGTTCAGTAGATCTGTCCCGTCCTCGTATCACGCATATTTGAAGATGGATCCAGCAGTTTCTTCTAAGAGACCAGCTTCATAATCACCGTCTGGAAGATTGTCACTAGTGCTACGAAAAGAACGAAGCGAGAGGCCGACCGGCGGAGAGCTCAGACCCGAGTCGCTCTCGGCCATGCGTTTGAGAAATGGAGAAGCCTCCGAAACGCTCTGGGGATAAAAATTGATCCTCATTTGGCGTTTATCTTGATTAGAAGGTAAGACGGTGACTCAGTTCTAAACGTCCTAGTGTCTTGCACGAATACAAAGTGATATAGCATTATTATGTGTTAGCTTTTTGACTTAGCAACATGGACTGATTCCATTTGGTTCGGTTTTTTCCTTAACAGTAACAGATTGGCGAGACACATTCAGCATTTTGTTTGTTTTGTTTATAGAATGTTTAGAAATAATGACTGTTACGTTGATTAGTGCTTTTGAAAGAACGTTAGCATCTGTTAGCGTAGTACAGCTGTGTACATTATTGGGCTGCTACTGTGCATGTAAACCATTATGAAACTTGCAGATGCAGTGATTATGTACCTCAGTACCTGTACTATATGTATCGTAGAATTGCAGACTATATTAGTAATATAATGTGGTTAGTCCAACTGTAATACAATGAGATGCATGTGTGTATAGGTAACGTGTACTTATTTACTTTACAGCTATGAAAAAATTATGGCATCAAGGAGTACCAAGGCCTCAACTCCTAAAACCACTACTGCGACTGGTGATCTCCCAAGTTCAATCAGTCTCTAACCCTACTTTTTTACCAGAAAAATAGGATTGGCATTATGTTTGATTCAAGCCTTATTGACAATATCACTGAAACAAACTTGCATTTTTTAACAGGATGACTTATCTGTGGCAGGGGTGCAGCGTTTTATAGAGGTAAGTAATGTGTTAAAGGACTCTCTTTGTCATATTTGCAGTCACTATAAGTACTATATCTGTTACAGCTGACGGGAGAATGGACTCACCAGGTAAGTCTGAAGCCTTTCACTTTACAACATAGTTATTGTGTATTACTTTGTGTTTCACCATATTTGATTCAACAAGGTCATTCTGCAACGTTTTGCACATACACAACGATGGAACTTGACACTATGGACATTATCGGTGTTGTCAATGTTGATAAAAGGAAAGTTGGTGGGAAAAGTGTCTCTATGGAGAAAGCAGCATTCATCAAAACATTTGATGATCTCACGAAAGAATTAAAAGTCAAAGAGATTGTGACTGACGCCCATGTGCAAATTGCAGCCCTCATGCGTAAGTATTTTTGTCTGTATTATTTGATGTGCTATATTTTGTGCTTACTGCATTTTTGAGCTTTAAAATAGATCCAGAATGGGGAAGATATATGGATCATGGAGTTACCCATTCCCTGGATGTCTGGCATGCTGCAAAAAATCTAACTAAGAGGCTTCATGCTGTAAGTGATAGTTCATATCGTTTCTCATTCAATTATTTTTTATAGAGTTAACCAAAACCAATAACTTTGATATGCGGGTGTCCTAGCAGGTCAAAAACAAATCTTAGTGTGGATCAAGGACATTGTTAACCATTTTTGGTATGCCTGTCAGCATGCAAGCAGCCGAGACGAGTTCATGGTAAGTAAAGTAGAACTAGAATTTATATTCTCATTCTCACTATACCTTTTCATTTTCTTATGTTTGCTGATTAGGACATTTGGCGAGGTGTACTGCACCATGTTAGTGGCGTGCATGAGTGGCCTTCATGGCCGCTAAAGCACATGTGGCACTGTCACAGATCGTGCTGAACCGCAGATGGCTGAAGGATGTGGAGAAGTTCCTCACATTTCGGTAAGAGATAACCTTTTATTTTTTGGAATGATTTGTGTTTCTTCTATTTCCTACTTAGTTTCCCTGCAGGACCACCTCACAGCTGGAATCATTCCAAAACCATATTCTGGTTTTGGAATGATTTTCATTTTTTGTTTATGAAGCAAGAACACTTCTTGCAGCTTTGGACTACAATCACCACAACAACCGTCCGGCACATGTGAACAGCAAAGGCCAAGTGTCGTAAGTATCATTCACTACTTCCTATTGACAAGTCATGAATATAGTTGTCTTCTAACGTGAAATTACTTATCTTGTAGCCTTGGAGACTGTACAGCAAAAAATTGAAACGGTATCGGGTACACGGTATCGGGTACACACTGTCAAAGAAGCAAAGGATTACAACTACATTCCTGACCTTCAGACACAAATCATTGGCAGACGACTTCAGTCTGCTGGTGGCCTCCCAACCAGACGGAGTATCATACCGGAGGACCCACGAGCACTTGGACCAGTGTCTGGTGTTAACCCACCTCCTACTTCAGAATTGATGCGTACACAGGTCCAGAGAGGACAGGTATGTTTGTGTAACTAACCAGCTTGTTATAAAGAATAACTAATGTATAGGGCTCAACTGACCCCTTGAAGAGACATTCCAGTGTTGTATGATTCTAAGATTTAGCTTCTTCTCTCTGCCCTATTTTCCATACTGAATAATATTGATTGGATTTTTGTGTATCTTCAAGTTTTACTTTGGAATGTTACAATTTTGTAAATGTGTCTTTTCTATGTCCCAGGAGACGACATCTGTTCCCTAACGTTGAAGAAATACAACATCACCATACTTTTTTTTTTTATATAACACAGAAAAATATTACAGAATTTTTACTTTTTGAAATAAAGTTATTCGAAATCGATCTTGTGTAAATAGGGCTTTTGATTTTCTTTTTCTTGCACCCTCTGCTGGAGTATCTTCCTTCTTTTTAGCACTTGTCTTCCTCCCCTTTCCTCTTCCCTTTCTGTTTGTTTAGTCTTCTGTGAGTCTTCCTCCCTCTTCCTCTACCCCTTCCTTGTCCTTGTCCTCGAGGTTGACTTCCAGAGTCACTGGTTGTCTCCATAGGAACAAACTCGTCATTGCTGGAGCCCTAAATGGAGTAAAATGTTATTAGGCTCTTAGATTACTATCTATTATTATTATTATCGATGGTGAAATATTGATGAAGAATTATGGTAACTCAATAACTACATGCCTACAGTATGTGTATTTACATTATGTAAATACACATACTGTAGGCATGTAGTTATTGAGTTACCAATAAATCTTCATCGATATAATATCTAAATCCATTGAGTTGTATATACACTTTGTTTTACTTATACAGGAATACTACTGAAATGTGGGTTTACATAAATGGCAGTTACAGGTAAGAAGTACCCAGATGTATTGTAAAAGACTCATTGTTACAGAGTGGGCAGAAGACACAGAAGCTTCTCGGCCTTTTGGCTAAGATCAAGTGTGGCACAGGGGCAATCTAACTAGCTAGCTACTGGGCTTGGACAAATCTAGCTCACTGTCAATAGTGGCTAATTACTTTCATCACTTATTACAGATAGTTATTGAAAAAGGCAGTAATGTATCATTGTCTTACACACAAAGAATCAAACTTTCATTGTCTAACTAGCTAGCCAAATTTCGTCTGTCAAAAAGGACTAATACAATTAGTCAAACTAATTTAATGCCAAATAATTAGTTTTCTTACCTGAGAAAACATGATGTAACTAGAAATGTTCAAGCCCCGGCGATCCAAGATGGCGCCCTATTCAAATGAATGGTTGTGCTCAGTGGCGCTTTGTGACAGCATGGGGGCTGAAAGATTAGCGGAAGTTGCCTGAAACTCGCAAAGATCTATGGGAAACTCGCCTGTATTTGGGCATCGTCTGGTCCTCCCGGTTCTGCGCAGTGGATGATCTCCCATAATGCGTTGCGCCAAACACGCGTGTGTGGGTCTCACACCGGGTCTCACGCACGTGCACAGAGGGGCTCGGCCGCGCTCTGACCAATCAGAGCAGTTCATCAGAGCGGGAGTTAGAGCGACAGCCAGAGGAGCAGAGTTTGTGCCACTAAAGTGTGGATTTAAACAAAACCGAAAGATTTAAGAAGAAAAAAAGTTCAGGATGACAAGGGACACTAAAATCCCCACAAAATACTATCTTTATGAAAGCTGTAGGTTCTCTGTCAGCTGAGGTTGAGCTGTTTTAATATGCATTGAGTTCTATGGGGAAAATTTCTGGGTAGCCCACGTGAATTTAGGCTGGTTCAGTCTGCAGTACCGCGAGAATCCCCTGAGCACGTGAGTTATTCAGCTACAAGCTAGTAATACCCTATCCAGTTAATATAATACATCCATGGAAATGTTGTGAGAAGTGAGAATTTGAGAACCAGATGCGTCTTCACGTCGAGAGCGTAAAGTGTACAGGGCGCGTGCACGGCATTGGATGCAGTTACATAAAACGCCAAAAGGGGGCAAACTAATGCAAAAACTCTGCCACTTACGCAATGCACCTTTCAATAAGTTTTGCCTCATCCATCGCGACGTCCTCAATGCTTCAATATGCTGTGCTTTGCACTGATCATAGCCACAGCTCATACACATCACACACCGCTTTTTCTATTTAAAACTATAGCGGCTGCCTGTTGCCTAAAGCAGCGGAGAGGCGAGTTGGGTCCGATAAAAGTGTATGACGCGCTAAATAAGTAGAAAACAAACAAAGAGGTGGATCATAATAAACGCTGCGGTCACAGACCCAAACACACACACACACACACAGACACACACGGGCGCTCTCACGCACACGCCCACGCACACATGCACGCCGACAATACATAACTCCTCCATCAGCCAAACATTCATTCATTCACACAATGCCCAAACATGTCTCCTACAAAAACAAAGCAGGCTGATATACGCACAGCCAGAGTTGCTGCTGCTGCAGCCGGTTTGACCACTAGTCCGTGTTACGGACGTCCAACGGACAGCAGCCAACGCGCGTCAACGGAGACGCGCCCGGTGGAGTCCAGGCCTGAGAAACACTGTTCTCACCACTGACTCTGAGCAAAGTGTCTAAATTTAGGCCCCGACTCCACCGGAGTAAAACGGACGACAGATCCGTCCAAACAGGTCCGTTTCATCTCCGTCTCCGTTATCTCCATGAGGGTGAATGGAAGTGGCTCCACTGCCTCCGCATGCGTCCGTCCAACGCACGTCGGACGTATTCCGTCAACGGAGGGTGCAACGGACGCGGACGGACGAAATAGAAACAATCCTATTTGTTCCGTCCGTCGACGCGTGTCGGGTCCGTTTTCCATTGAAAATACAATGGAATAATATATTTATAACATTATTAAACATGTATTGATATATGCTGTAGTCCTTGGTTATAAGTATTTGTTAATGACAATGATTAATAACAAACCTGTGTAATTTCCTTCATGTATTACTTTAAATAATTGTTTCCTGATCGTAAATCTACCATTTATTTTTTGCGTAATGTTAATACGCTAAACTTTACATACACCTCGCTCTTTTTTCTCTCGCTCTGTCCTGTCTACCTGCGAGGCGCTCTCTCCTCACCGCCGCGCGCTCCCACACACACACACACACACACACACAGAGATGCACTTATGAGAGACAGATCTCACAACACTGGATATGTTGGAGTTCTTTTCTCTTTTTTCTCTCCTCTTTTTCCAATTTCTTTCAATAAGTTTTGCCTCATCCATCGCGACGTCCTCAATGCTTCAATATGCTGTGCTTTGCATTGATCATAGCCACAGCTCATACACATCACACACCGCTTCTTCTATTTAAAACTATAGCGGCTGCTTGTTGCCAAGGCCGCAGAGAGGCGAGTTGGGTCCGATAAAAGTGTTGACGCGCTAAATAAGTAGAAAACAAACGAAGAGGTTGGATCATAATAAACGCTGCGGTCACAGATCCAAACACACATGCACGCACACGCCTCCCACCACACACACACGGGCGCTCTCACGCACACGCTCACGCACACATGCACGCCGACAATACATAACTCCTCCATCAGCCAAACATTCATTCATTCACACAATGCCCAAACATGTCTCCTACAAAAACAAAGCAGGCTGATAAACGCACAGCCAGAGTTGCGCTGCTGCAGCCGGTTTGACCACTAGTCCGTTTTACGGACGGCTGACGGACAGCAGCCAACGCAGTCCAGGCCTCAGTGTTTGATGCGGTATACGGCCCCGACTCCACCGGGTGCGTAAAACGGACGACGGATCCGTCCAAACATGTCCGTTTCATCTCCGTCTACGTTATCTCCATGAGGGTGAATGGAAGTGGCTCCACTGCCTCCGCATGCAACCACTGGACTATCTCAGTGACAACGAAATGTTACATTCTAGTAGATATGTCAGACTCGCTGTACACGGCCTTGTCATCTTGAATATCCGCGAAAAAAGAACGAATACCAAATTGTAAACAACTTACAGCGTTGAAACGTACCCGTTCTGACATCACCAAGGGCTGTGAAGTTTTTTCGTTTCTAAGGGCGTTGCTATGGGGTTATTTCGATTTGGGGGGAATCAGACAAAAAAAAACAACTGATTTTGAAACCTTTAGTAGTTCTCTTCTAATATAAAATGGTATTAAAACTGTATTTCTAAATAAATCAAACCCGTCATAAGGTCTTTAATGACAATGATTATTAACAAACGTCTGTCATTTTTTTCATGTATTACTTTAAATAATTGTTTCCTGATCGTACATCTACCATTTGTTTTTCGCGTAATGTTAATACGCTAATCTTTACATACACCTCGCTCTTTTTTCTCTCGCTCTGTCCCGTCTACCTCCGAGGCGCTCTCTCCTCACCGCCGCGCGCTCCCACACACACACACAGAGATGCACTTATGAGAGACAGATCTCACAACACTGGATATGTTGGAGTTCTTTTCTCTTTTCTCTCTCCCCTTTTTCCAATTGCTTTCAATAAGTTTTGCCTCATCCATCGCGACGTCCTCAATGCTTCAATATGCCGTGCTTTGCATTGATCATAGCCACAGCTCATACACATCACACACCGCTTTTTTTATTTAAAACTATAGCGGCTGCCTGTTGCCAAGGCCGCGGAGAGTTGGGTCCGATAAAAGTGTATGACGCGCTAAATAAGTAGAAAACAAACGAAGAGGTGGATCATAATAAACGCTGCAGTCACAGACCCAAACACACATGCACGCACACGCCTCCCACCACCACACACACACACACACGGGCGCTCTCACGCACACATGCACGCCGACAATACATAACTCCTCCATCAGCCAAACATTCATTCATTCACACAATGCCCAAACATGTCTCCTACAAAAACAAAGCAGGCTGATATACGCACAGCCAGAGTTGCGCGCTGCTGCGGCTGTGCGTTTATCAGCACCCCATAGAAGGCTTTGTTTTAAATATTAGAAGCGGTGTGTGACGTGCATAAGCTGTGGCTATGATCAGTGCAAAGCACGGTATATTGAAGCATCGAGGACGTCGCGATGGATGAGGCAAAACTTATTGAAAGCAATTAGAAAAAGAGGAGAGAGAAAAGTACTCCAACATATCCAGTGTTGTGAGATCTGTCGTGTGTGTGTATAAACGTTTTGTAAATATGTGCGTGTGTTTGTGGGTGTAAATGTGTATGTAGCTACAGAGAATAGACGTTCTTGTCCTCGAGGGACCCTTTGTCTTAGATTCACTGTTGCAGTTATTTATACAATAAAAGGACAAAACATTCAAGAATAAAGACAACAATATAAACAAGAAATGTTAATATTACTGTTAAAGTAAACAGATGAATGAATGTCCATTGAACAGACAGTAAAAGACGCTAGCGGCCTGTGGCTAATGCTAACGCTAACAGCACTAGCATAACACACACTCACCGATCGCACGGAGCAGGAGCAACTGCGGTGGTAGAGGGAGCTCTACACGGGGATCATGCAGATGTTCCCTCTGCTCCAATCAGCTGCTGACTTTATGAAGCACAAAGATCAAAGTGTTTCCAAAGCTGCGGTTCACGTTGTTGATCACAGCCTTA